TTCTAAACCATTCTGTTTTTTGTGTAAGTGGCCCTCTCATCTATTGATAAGCTGTATATTTTCTTCAATCAAGGGTATTATTTGTTGCACCCTGAGGATGATAGAAATATTTACATTAACATTTAGATCTCATTCATCCTCAGTGGAGAATATGATACTATGGCATGGCCAAGAGGTGCTAAAAAACATCCATTAAAATACAGAACGAGAGGCAAATGGGGATAACAATTATAATACCATTAAGGGTTTGCTAGTATCAGGTGCAAATGTGAAGCTCAGTAGAATGGGATCACTCGAAACTTTAAGATGTAATTATAGCCTCATTTTATTGTTGATTAAAAAGATATCCACTACCCTCTCATCCCATTTCTCTGCTCTTCCCTTTTTTTGGCAGAGTCCTCTCACACTGTTTCTTCTTCCATTTTACTTTTCCCTGCTGTTCCTAGGCTACACCTTCAAAATTTGTTCCAAGTAGACTCATTTCAAAGAAGTTACAGTAGAAGGTTCTACCTCATGTCTGTGGAGTGGCTCCAATATAAGCATACGTGCAAGTTATTTAAAAAAAAAAAGAATTATGTGCTTGAAGTTGTGCTCATAAGCATATGGACAGGTGAAGATCTTGACAATGAATAAGATTCTTATGTACAGCATGACAGCTCAGAAAAGTTAAGTAACATCTTACAAATGTGTAATAGTATGAAGACCCGTGAGTGCATTTTAACAAAAGATGTACGCATTGCTTACCAGGTGTGTGACAATCAGGTTTCCAGCTGGGTGCACATGCAACAGGCCATTTAGTAGGTGGAGGGTATTCATGATAATTGTCCATGCAACTTTTGGCCTGTGGAGAGCAAAATTTTTAATCAGATGCCTCCTGCTTTACAACATTTTTCACTTCTCTAGTTACTCACATTTCAGTCCCATCCCAGAACAATTACTTACTCTGAACTTGCTTTCATCTAAACACAGCTCTTAAAATGGCCATTAAAAGTTGCAGCAGCACAACTTTCAGAATCTTGCAAGGCAACAAAAATTTCTGTCTTGTGTCTTACTTAGATTTTCTGTTATTTGTAAGAATCATGTTCATGTAGACTGCTCTGTGCATGTCCTATTACAGTATTTGATAAAGGGATCCTGGGTTCACAAAAGCTTATGCTGTATACATCTCTGATTTAGGTAGTCTATAAGGTGCAAATCTACCCTGCCTTCTGTGCGGGCTGGGAGCGGTCCAAGGCCCTCGGGGGCGCGCGGCGGGCTGTGGCCAGCAGCCCTGGCACGCGGGTCAGGGAATGCAGGCCGGTGGACTAGAATTAGGCACGGACGCTTAGCGGTTGATTAAAGATTATTTTACTTACACCGTAGATGGTCGCGGTGCAGGCAGGAAAACTTGCTTGAGTTGCAGTTACAGACAGGAAAGAAGAGAGGCGGACAAGAGTTCCTTCCACGCGAACCTCTAGCCCAATCCGGTTGAAGGCTCTAAACACGCGAGCCCGTCGTGTCAACCGAAGAAAACAACTCGGAGAAAAAGCTCTGGATACACTCACACGGAGTTTGCTAGGCTCCGTGGAACTTGCGCGCAGGGAAGGGGTTCATCGAGGGATCGTTCGGCGACAGGGAGAGGCCAGAGGTTGATCAGACCCCTGTAGCCTTCTTAAGGTACACGCTGGGTTCAATAGGCTCCGCAGCGCTTAGAGTGCTTCACAAGATGTGAAGTCTTCTTCCTCCAGATGGTTGTGGAGTCCTCCCTTGCAGGGTTCTCCTCGGAGTTCTCCAACTTGGGCGGAAACCACTCAAGCCTCTTATACGGCTAGCAAGCCAATCGCTAGCCGCCCCGTGGGAATAATTTAGAACTGGCCAATAGTGGGACACAAATTTGCATGCGGGTGGCGGGAACTCCTTTGCACCATGCATTTCTCTTTGCAACTAAGAAATGCACCCTGCAAAGAAAGCGCCGAGTGGCGGGGAATAATTTAGCAGTGCCGAAGCGCACACAAACAAAATCACACCCTTGGGTTGTGACACCTTCTACTAATAGATGCCACTTACAGCTATCAAGAATCTTAGCTTTATTTCAGTGTCTCATTTCCTGTTAAAGCTGTTTATTGCCTTGTATGTTCCTCCCAAGGAACAATATCCTTTTGATATATTAATTTTGCCAAATCTAATAAGCTAGACCAAAGAGCTAAAAGTGGACCCAAGAATGCTGATAGAATAACTGAGTCTTAAGTTTCTGTCTGACTTGCCCTAAAACTGCTTAGAATGTAAATTCTTTTGGGATAGTGAGTGTGCTCCAATGTACAGCATATTTGTTCAGCACTTGTACAATTGGGTCTTGATCAAGAAATCTTAAGTGCAATAATTTATCTTAGAAATGACATTTTTTAGGAGAATCAAGTACAATTGTGAGCATTAATGTTTTTCTACGATGTTGGTTGTTTATCTTTCTATTAATGCCCACTTTATACTGATCAAGATTTAACTTAGGTCAATAGTTCATGTTCTAAATGGGGTCCCATCAACCTTCTAAGTTTAGTGTCCAGAGAATACAGAAATGCAAACATTTTTAGCAACATAAGAGGATTTTTGGACATAGTAAAATGTTGCAAGGCTTGACCTTTGCATAGGGAGACTACACTGTACATATAAAGAAGTCTTCATTTTGTGTCGTTTAACAAATGTTTACACAGCATGTATCTCACTGTTGGTTATAGCTAATAGTACCTGTAGACCAAATTAAGATGCTGCAGAGCCTACACCAAGGTATTAGACAATTGCTGGCTGGGCCCCTAAAGTTCTCCATCTTCCATAAAATAAATTTTGCCACAACTAATGTTTTGGGGCGCTACTGTGCAGTCAGCGTCTTGTGTAGATGCAGCCTGTATGTTCCAGTATCCACTGACACATTGCTGTTTTCCCTTCTTTACACATAGATGAAGGATTACATGCATAATGTCACATGCATATTTTGCAGATATATTTTAAGGTCTGTCTTTCTGGTTCATAGTGTTTTAATTAAGCTATGTACTTTGCAAAAACAGTTAATGAAATCATAGTTACCAGAAGGGCTAGCATTGTAATGTAGGATGTTGAGACTGCAGGAAATTTAAGGCAAAACTGGAGGCGACCATTTTGAAAGAGGCTAAAATGAATAGCTCATTACAAGAGTGGGGGAATTAAAAAAAAAATAAAGGTGAGCATTTTTAAATAGGTTATTCCTATAAAGGAAAAGATAACAGAGTTTAGCAAGCATTTGAGGTGGTGCTGACCCGTTTTAGTAATTAAAGTTATAGAATAACTATATAACCCGTATAAATTATATATATATATATATATACACACACACATTTCCTACTGATTTATATTTTACCAATAAAGGTCAAATGACTCAACTTTGCTATTTGTCATCACGGTTGACGAAATAGACGTTTCTGGCATTGTATAAAAAACTCTTAGGATAACAATTTTTTAGTTTACCTGCTGTTCAGTTGAATAGTATCAATTTTGTAACTTCTCACTCAGGCAAATTTTCTTGGGGCTTTTGGACTTATATTACCACATTGCTTTAATTTTATGTTTCTGAGGGACAGAAAGGTTTGAGGATGTTTGTTATATACTGATGATGTATCTGGGTGTCTTCAGGGCACAGGGTGGCTATCATAGAGGACATTCCGGTTTTCTGCTACTCTGCCCTCTATTGATACGAAACCTGACACCTTTGTCAGGTTGTAAAGGTGTCTGGTTTTGTATCAATAGAGCACAGAGGACAACCGGACTGTCCTCTATGATGGCCACCCTAGGGCGCACACAGGACTAAATTCTGCCCTGGCTCAACTCTAGAGCACATCCAGGATCTTGCCACAGGTTTTCAAGAGGGTGTGCAACACAGGCTTCAAATGTTTAAATGTCTTTGTTCTCTCAGTAGATTTCTAGACCACTTCTCAAGCCCCAGCTGCTCAGTGTATCTTCAGAATAGGCCCAGAGTAACTTCAAATCCAGGAACCTTTGCAAAAAAAAGGATAAATCAGTGAGGCCAGCCGGGGATGGAGACCGTCCTTAGATTCTCTGTCAAACCTGCTGGCACGTGCTGAGCAGTCCCGAGCTGTTTGTCCTCTAGGCATGAACCTGCCCTCGGGCAGAGCTGCCTCAGCGCAGGCTTGTTTCTGCCAACTGAGCCCTGGGGCGTGGGTCGGGTGGCCATCGCAGAGGACAGTCCGGTTGTCCTCTATTGATACAAAACTGGATGCGTTTATGACATAAAGGTGCCGGGTTTTGTATCAATAGATATCAATTGATGAACAGATATCAAGTCGTAGCAAGCGATACACTGGCGATGCGTAGTTGGGCGGTGCACGCGGGTGCACATGCACCCCCTGAGCGTGGCGGTGCACCCCACGTGAAAAGGTGCTGCAGACACTGCCGGCGGTGCCTGTGGGTGATCACCGCTCGCCCCCCTCGCCGGCACGGGTGGGCGCTTGCCTCCCCCGCCTGCAGGAGCTGGCCGTGCCCCCCAGCCTCCAGGGGCCCGGGGTATTCACCAAGGGATACGAAACCCGACACCTGGACATCCTCTATTTTTCTCTCCAGTCGAGGACATAATAAAGGCGTATCAACAGAGGAGCAGAAACCCTGCACGGTCCCCTATGGGGTGCGAGCGGGGGAAGCCCCCTTGGCCCTGCTCTGCCAGCAGCCCTCATCCCCGGGGCTGGGCTGCGGTGCCCTCGGGGCAGAGCCGCGTCCCCGGGGAGGGGCAGGCCGAGCGCTCGCGGGCGGCCCAGGTGCGGCCTCCTCCTCCCCTGCAG